GGAGTACATTTTCATTGTTTGAAAGAGTTAGAATGCTAATAATAGCATTCAATACATAAAATTAAGACCCAGGTAACCTGATGCCATTCCTGATGCCTAGGCTGGATGGTGAGTCCTTTGGTGAGGCTACCTACTCAGCAGAATTCTAAGAGATGCTAATGGACATAGTCCATATAAGTTCTGTTGAATATAAAATATTTTGAACCAATATTTTTGATTGCAGTCAAATTATATTTGAGATGCTAAATAGAATAAAGAACACCAGCAAGTTGAGCTGCTATTAAGAAACTTGTGGGCTAAAATAAGAAGTAGTCTTTATTACCTGAAACTAGACTTGAGAAATTTGCCATGGACAAATACAAATCAAGTTATAAGAACAAGATTGAGTGTGTCAGAGAGAAGGCAAAATTAAAAGATATATTATAGATGAGCATTCAGTGGCTGGGTATGATGGTTCACACCTGTAATCCTAGCACTCTGAGAGGCCGAGGTGGGAAGATCCTTTGAGCTCAGGCATTTGAGACCAGCCTGACCTAGATAAAGACCCTGTCTATACTAAAAATAGAAAAATGAGCCAGGCATTGTGGCAGGTGCCTCTAGTCCCAGCTACTTGGGAAGATGAGGCAGGAGTGAGCCCAGGAGATTTAGGTTTCTGTGAGCTAGGCAGACACCATGGTACTTTGGCCCAGGCAACAGGGTAAGACTTTATCCCTAAATAAATAAATACATAAGCAAGCATTCAAGGCCTATTCGAAAACTTTACAATTATTCAAGTGATAGATCTTCATAAAAGAATATGGAAGATAGAGATAAACACAAATGGAGGGCTATTAACATTCCAGATAGATCCATAGACATTTAAAATATGACATTTTATTTCATTAAAAATATCTGTATTAGTTTGCTAGGACTCTCATAACAAATATCAAGACTAGGTAGCTTAAATAACATACATTTATTTCTCACTGTTCTTGAGGCTAGAGGTACCCTGTCAGGATCTGCTTCTGACACCCCTTGTCAGGGCCCGGGACTGGCCAGGTTTCGGGCCCGGCTTAGGCAGGTTCCGCACACGGACCACTAAGTTACCTTGCTCAGGAACAGTTTCTCTTAGGTGCTTGAGGGCTATCTACTTTAGCTGGAGAGAGAGAGAGAGTGTGTGTCTTAGAGACAGTAAAGTAGTCTTCTTAGAACAGATAGATCTTAGTCTTTAGCAGAGCTTGGTAATCTTCAGCAGAGACACATCATACTGGCGTTCTGCAGGCAGAAGAGAAGACAGAGTCAGAGTAAGTGTGTCTGTGATAGAATGCGCATGCTTTCTTTCTGCCTTCTCCTCCAGCCTAACGTAAGGCTGAGCTGAGCTCGTGCCTCTCAACACCACAGGTGTAGAGACTGCCAATTCACCAATGCTCTCATCTCACGAGCTCTCTCATGCTGGTTATAACTAAATCTCTCTCCATGCCCTTTTCACCAAGGTGTTCCATTACTGACATTTCCTATAACTTTTACTCCTCCTAGCCATAGGCTATACGGGCTGCTACAGTACCCAATTAAGGTGTTGACAGTTCTGGTTTCCTCTGAGGCCTCTCTCCTTGGTTTGCAGAGGGCAGCCTTCTTGCTGTGCTCCTCGCTTGGTTTTTGCTTTGTTCACGGTCCCTGTCTGTCTTCTCATCTTTTCTTGTAAGGACAATCCTATTGGATTGAGCCCACTTATATGACCTCATTTCACCTTCTTTCTTCTTTTAGGCCCATCTTCAAATACAGTCATTTTCTGATGTACTGGGGTTAGGATTCAACATGAGTTTAGGGGAGAGGACACAATTCAGCCCATGACAATATCAATCCCTATGTATTTACTTGAAGCTTGCTTTTCCTACTTAGCATCATAACAGAAAGCCCTTTCCATGTCAAGAAATATATATTTTGTCTAAAATAAAGGGTGTAATGGATATAAACTATTATATGTATTTATGTAACCTAGTGAATTCAGGCAATTTGCCTAGTTTAGTTTTTTTTGATTTATTTTGTGCTCTTCAGTGTATACCTGGGTACCAGGTCCTTTCACATGAGACTAATAATGTTCATAGTTTAATGTCTTAAAGTAGAACTGCTTAGGCAAACAATAGAACATTTCAAAGCCTCTTTATTTTATTTTTTCAGCTTTATTGAAATATAATTGTCAAACTAAAAAACATACATAGTCAACGTGTACAATGTAATGTTTTGATATATGTATGCATTTTGAAATGATTACTACAATCAAGCTAATTTAACATATCCATCACCTTCAAAGGTTTTTGCTATGTTTTATCAGCTAACCAAAAAAACTGTAACAATTTATACTTATAGGGGCATGTGAAAGAGTTCCCATTTCTTCCCCCAAAGTTTACCACTTAAATCATTATCATTTTTTAAGTTATTAATAATTTGCTAAAAGAAGAAAATGCTTTTTTATCATTTAAATTTATATTTCTTTGATTACTCATATGGATGAACTCTTTGTTCATGTTTATTGATTACTTGTATTCCTTTTGTTAATTAGGCCCTCTGCCTAATTTTAAAATAATGTATTTTCAATGACTCAGGTTTTATATTTAATCCTTTTTAAAATCTAGTATTTATTTTATTTTGCTTTGTGTTTGTCCATGGATGGCATAGTGGATTTTTTTCTGTGAGGCAATTGTTATATGCTTCTGGGTTTTCATTCTTTTAAAATTTTTCTTACAGATTTTAATACTAGTATTGTGTTTTAATTTATTATACATGTTTATTTATGTTTGGTAGTATAAACCTATAATTATTCTTCTCTTTCAAAATCTTCTTATATATTCTGTAAGTTTAATATCTATGTGAAATTGTGAATCATTGTGTTAATTTTCCAGATGAAATTCCAGTTGGTTTCTTTATATTAAATGTACAGCAAAGACTAGATTTAGGCTAGTTATTATTTTTCCCCTTTAATACTCAATTTAGAGTTCTTTGAAATTTCACCTATCATTTTTAGGCTAGTACATCAGATGCTTATGTAATTATTATTATTATTATTTTTGAGACAGAGTCTCATTTTGTCACCTTCAGTAGAGTGCTATAGTGTCACAGCTCACAGCAAGCTCAAACTCTTGGGCCAAAGCGATTCTTCTGCCTCAGCCTCCCAAGTAGCTGGGACTACAGATGCCTACCACAATGCCCAGCTATTTTTTTCATTGCAGTTGTCATTGTTGTTTAGCTGGCCTGGGCTGGGCTCGAACCTGCCAGCCTCGGTGTATGTGGCTGGCAACCTACCCACTAAGCTATGGGCACTGCCTGCTTATGTAATTATTGATAAGATTCTAAGATGTTGAGCAAAATGCTATTGGCCTTAGTTGGATAAACATGTGCTTTTGATTTTCAAAGAGACTTTAATGTTATTATTTTCCTTGACATTACTTTTATATTTATCTTACTTTCTATGCTACGTCAGATTATCCTAAGTTTCCAAGAGGGTTGTCTGATATTAATGAATTGCACCTTTTCCTAATTTTAAGCAAATTACTTGATGTTGGGATAATTTCAGAGACCTGCTAACATTAAAGACAAATACAGTAGGAACTCTGTAGGTTGACCACCCAAGGTACTGTAAGAAACTGATCAACCTAGTGGTTGCAGACAACAAGAGGTTGTCAACCTAAGGAAGCAGCCCCACGGTACTGAGATGCACGTGTGGTCCATGTCTGGTCTATGAAAATCAGATTAAGGAGGTGGCCAGTGTTGGGAGATGGTCATCTATGGAGATTCTACTGTAATTGCATTGGTTTCTTGACTGTATTTTAAAAGGTCATGTATTCTTCATCACAATTCTCTGTTCTAAGTTTTACAAATGTGCTCTTTAGGAAGAAGAACTTTTCCCTCCAGATTTCTTTTCCTCGCCGCTCGCCATCCATAATCCAGTTGATTTCCATTTATTTTCTTTGGAAAGCCTCCCCCCCACTATTATCTCTAAGTCATATACTTCAGCTGCCCTTTTCATGTCCATATCAGTGTACTGCACTATTTTATTGCTTCAATTAGCAATTCCCACACTAGACTGGGAGTTCTGTGAATATTGAAGCTGTATCTAAATTGTTCACTATTGTAGACCTAGCATGGGGCATAGTGCCTGGTATAAAGTAAGCAGCAATAAACACATGCTGAATGTCTGAGAGCATGGTAATATTCTACATTAAGCCAAATATCCGATGTCTGTTAAGTACCAGCTCTTAAACCCTTTGTGGGTGGTTTCTATGTGTGCTTGTGTCCTTCTGGGGTCTGCGGAAGAGTGGTGGAGTGCAGAGGTATGATGCCTGTGGTTGCCTCACTGCTCTTAATGATGAAACTGCAGGCAATCACTGAGGCATGTCTGACATGCCGGAAGGAGACAGAAGGATCTTCTATTAGTTATTTAGTTATATTCTATCCAGTGGAGTTCTCTTTTATTTGACCTCCTTTTATTATTTTATTTTATTTTATTTCAAAATAACATTAGGGTACAAATTCTTAGGTTACATTGCTCTCACTTCCAAGGTAAATTTCAATTTGTAGGACAGGCCCTCACCTGGGACTGGGAGCGTCCTGAATACCCTCGCACTGTGCACAGTAGGTGAGATCCCGCCATATGTCCTTCCTCCTCCAGCCAGTTGCCGTCCCCCCACCATATCCCCTCTCCCTGCTCACCGCTCCCCCTTGCTAGACTATATTTGTGTTTTATCATTCATCTGAGACTGTAAGTGTTTATATCTTGGTAGTATTCTTATGTAGGAAGGTGCAAACACTGCGTCTGATGGAAGCATCCAGGGCGTGGCAATTTCATACACGGGAATGAGCTGTGTTCTACATCGGCACCATCCGCCTTTCCCCTCCTCCACCTTTCCACCTCCAGCCGTTAAGATATTTTCATAAAGCATCACTGAGATTATTTGGGGCCAAATTTTCATGTTGGCATTTTGTGAGTGACCCTGGTTTTGTTTCTGTTTCGCTCATTACTGCAGATTTATGCTTATGTCTTTGAAAACATCAAGTCTGTCCGACTGGAAGCGTTGCTCTTATCCTTGCTAAGCATCGTGGTCCTTGTTCTTGTGAAGGAGCTGAATGAACAGTTTAAAACGAAAATTAAAGTTGTTCTTCCTGTCGATTTAGTTTTGGTAAGTATGAGATCAGCATTTATCTCTTTCCCATACACAGCTTGCTTACTGGAGTAATCTGTATAGACTTACTATATTGCCTATAGTAACTCACAGCTACTCCTGTCTCTCATTGAAGTGGGAGCTAATTTATGTGGCTATTCATTAACGTAAGAGCAGGAAATGTTTTAAGTCAATAATTTTAAGAAGGTGGCACACATGTTTTTAATTTATACAGAATTTCTTACATGCTTATAATTTTTTATATAAACAGGAGAACATGTAGCCTAAGATCTTAACTTAAGGAGACATTTCCAAGGGTGAGGTGAAAAGGTCTCTGGCATGATCTTCTGTAAAGCAATAAGACCACACCTTATTGATATGATACCTGTATGGCATGCATACAGTTACTATCAATTGACCAGTGTCTATTAACGATTAGTACATTGTTGATACTTTTTTTTACTGACCTAATTTTACTTTCTTAAAAGGATGCTCATGATTTTCGTTGACCAGGGCTGGTTCTTAAAAATGGTATTTTGTTGTATCTGGAAAAACAACACATTATATTTTGCACCTAAGGGTTTTTTACATTCTAAATATAAAAGATACATTTAGAAATTTTAAGAACCTCTAATGGGAACTCTTACATAAACAAAGCATTCAGTTGAAAATTAAATGTTAACATAACCACACTTTACTAACTTACTTATCATTAATTGGCTTGACTTTTTTAATGATCTTTGGGTTATACATGTATATAATAAATGGTATCTTAATAACTTCATCTATTGAAATATTTCTTTATACTGCTACAATAGTGTAAGTTTATGTACATTTATTTGGCTAGTATTAATAAATTGGAAACTATTCCTGAAGGATATGACTTATTTCTCTACAGTAAGATGGAAGGCCTCTCAAAGCCATGAACGATCCTACGTTCTTCGTGATCTGTTGAGTTATATATATCATATGTGTGTGTATTTCAAATAACCTATTAAAGAACGGAGTACAATGATTATGGCTTTCACAGCAACCACTGTGAAACATATCATTATAATTCAAGGTCCTGTTGATATTAAGGAAATATTTATTATATCTTGGAAGCTATAACATATAAGTTTCACAAAGCCAAAAATTGAAAACAACCCTAGAGAGGAAGTCCCTGGAGCTAGCAATAAAATAGTTGCTTATTTTCTGCAAAACTGGTAATAATTGTTCTTATTTAAAAAAGAAGATTTTTTTTACACAGTGTTGGCCCTAACGTTTGTTAAAACCTAATGCCAAAGTGTAAATGCAGGCCATGGGATCGAAATGTTAAATATAACAGGTTTTGTTTTCTTATCTTGACTAGTGTACCTTAGTAATGACCTTGAAAGCTAGGTTAGAATGGGGAATTCTCCTAGTCCTTTGAGTTCTAGAAAGGGGCCATATGGGGAGAGTCAGCCTCTTGGCCTTCAAAATTGGACATAACTGGGTTGCTGCAGGGAAGGATATTAGAAAAGCTATATTATCCGAACGTCATCTGATTTTGAAACTATAAATTAAGTGTTCTCAAAACTCAGAGGAATTTTTTTATTTTTAAGGTTTTAATTATTTTTAAAAATCTATGCAAATGCTACACTACCCTTGGCAATTATGGGACAAAAGAATGTTTACTTTTAAAAATGGTTTGAAGGTTTTTGAGGAGCCAGTAATATGTTTTTCTTTTTTTCAAACGGGACCACACAGATTATTGCTGCGTCATTTGCTTGTTATTGCACCAATATGGAAGATACATATGGATTGGAAGTAGTTGGTCGTATACCAAAAGGGTAATGTTGTCTTTTTTTTTTAAAAAAAAAATGTTTTTTGTTTTTTATGGAGAAAGAGACTGGGACTGGGTGGGTAAGTATGAATTTTATTGCTTTTCATCGCTGTATAGGACAACATTCTAATAAATTTCTATTAAAATGACAGAAACAAATGCTAGAGAAACAAATGTAAGGAGAAAAAGTAACTTTCTAGACTATTGACCTATTGCCAAGGAAGTTGATCATTGTTTTATACAGTATTACTGCAGATAAAAGATTTGGAAAATATTTGCAAAGCTATTATTTGAAAAAATGGAAGGCCAATGCCTAATTCTAATTTTGCAAATTAGAATTATAACTCCGGGATTTAGTCTGCCCTATTCCCCTGCCCTGCACATATTCTTATGACTATTTTTATTTCACTTAAACCATAGTGAAGGTAAACAAGCATCACCTGAAATAGCAGACCCCTAGGCCTGCGTGGCAAGACCTGGTGGCAGTGGAGAAGGAGATGCAGCTCCCTACCTGCCTTTGGACATTAAGAAGTTTAACAGAAGAGAAAGTGTTCACTGTAAAAGGGCAAACGGTTGTTCCAAATATAGACTGAAAGAAAATGAAAACATGGTGGAGAAGAGGGAGGGTACCCTGTGATGATTTCCTTTTAAGGGACTGTATATACACCAATATTTATAAATTTCAGGCAAAGTTACAAGTGTTGGGTCCTTTACATTTTATCTTCCAGTCCCGCGTTTTGGTTCCTAAAAACATTAAAAAGGGTGAGCAATTAAAAAGTTCATAGGGATTAAAAAGAAAATTTTTTAAAAATCCTGTCTTGAAACTATGTAGCTATAGGGTAATGGTGATTATCTGAATCAACTTTAATTTTCTCAAGGATTATCTGCTTTTCCACCTTTGAAAGTCAGTTTCTTGTTACCTTATAGGTCATTTGCTGTTATTAATAATTAAGCACACTCAATTTCCACTAAACAAAAGTTCTTATACTTTGAATGGTAGCACTTTTGCATAGCTTACATCTTACGGCCTTTAATGATATGAATCAATTTATCTTGGGGATAAACTTTAGTAAGTGAGTAAAAAACGTACATGTTTCTCATCCATCCGCTCTAATTCTTTTTCATTCTGAGAGAGTTTTGTAGACCCATCCCCTTAGGGAATTATACAGAGAGGATGGCTTTGACAAGGGATGGAGCTAAAATTGAATCCTGGCCTTGCCAATCCCCTATGACTTTAGCTAAGCTGTTGCCTAACCTTTCCCAAAATGTTCCCTCCTCCATACAGTGGGTTATAACGGTGTGTTTCAGACTGCTGCAAGAATTACATGAAAAAGCTACTATGAAAGGTCAGAGCATTCTACTTATATACTAGGTATTAAATCAACAGAATTCTCACCCCATTTTCTTCTACTTTTGCTCAAGGGACTTTTTTTTTTTTTGGGGGGTAAGTCTCCCAAAGAATCATCAGGGATAAATAAATACTACTACTTTGGCTCACATGGTTTTCAGCAGACACTTAGACAATGGCTGGGTATTACTTGAGAGAAATAATTTAAACAGTTCTTTGAAATGGAGAAATAGCTAAGTGTGGTCTTCTACTTTGCAACACAGGGTGGTAGATAGAACCTTTATACAGATTTTTCTTCACGTATATAAGGCATAGTCAAATGGACCGGGAAAGCATTGAGCTAAAAACATAATTACGTTAATGATCACACTGGCAAATTTAGAGATTAGCTCAAGAATTACAGCTCAGAGTAAACGAGTGTTTGCACACAGCAATGTACTGGTATTCAAGGGAGGAAATACAGTCTCTAACGCCAGCCAAATAAACATTTGGAAAAGTTCGAACGAAAGGACACTCCCGATTTGCTTTTGTTCTGATACAGACACTTTTTGTCGAGTCAGAGTTTCTGTGGTGTAATCTGAATTCCCTGGGCGTAAATGCCAGTTAGCTGCTTGTAGCTGTCCCTGTGGTGTTCCTTGAGATTCTGCTTTTCTGCTAAATAATGTTGAAAACAGAGGGCTTCTCAGGGCAAGGATGCTTGGTTTTCTCATGTGCATTTCACTTATTCTATGTAAACTTGAGAGTCATCACCACAGTTGAATTCACTGCAAGTTGTTACCGAAATTACCTGAAGGTTGATGACGTCAGTATGACTTTTCTTTGTGCAGAATTCCCCCATCTCGAGCTCCCCGGATGGACATCCTCTCTGCAGTCATCACTGAAGCCTTTGGAGTGGCACTTGTAGGCTATGCAGCCTCACTGGCTCTTGCTCAAGGATCTGCCAAAAAATTTAAATATTCAGTTGATGACAACCAGGTGGAGTATCTCCTGCCCCTCTCTGCTCCTGTTGTATCATTGTACTGTGCACTCCCAGATCCTGAAAATCCTGAACTGATGAGAAATAAAACTTTCTTAAATGCATAGCAAGAATGGGTAGAATAAAACTAAAGAAAATCTCTAAATCATTCACAGAAGGTTTTAATAACTCTAAAGCTTTTGGCTTAAATGAAGAAAATGTGGGAGAACCAGGTTGCGGTGCTAGAGAGTGACACCCCAATTGAGTACATTTGAGACACCTGGAGGCCATACAAAGGGAGATGCTGAAAATATGACCTTTATGGCTTTGTGTTTTTTAAAGAAAGAATGGCATCTTGATGTTATTTTTAGGAGAAAATCCAAATATATTTAACATCACATGATATTTTCTTTTGGCAGGGGCTAGTCTGTTGCCCAGGCTAGAAGGCAGTGACGTTATTAGAGCTCATGGCCACCTCAAACCCCTGGGCCCAAGCAATCCTCCTGCCTCAGCCTTCTCAGTAGCTGCGATTACAAGTGCCCAGCATTGAGCTTGGACAATTTGTGCATTTTTTGTAGAGACAAAGTCTCACTATGTTGCTCAACCTGATCTCCCCTTGACCCAGTGCAGTCCTCCCATCTTGACCTCCCTGACACTCCTATACAAAAATGCTGGAATAAATGTGAGCCACCACACAGGGCCCTAACTCTGAAAAATTATGGATGTCAAAGTACACATAGCACTGGTATTACTCTTTAGTAAAAGACTACAGATGTGGCAGTCTATTCTTAGAATACCAAATAGTACAGAGTATACTGATCATATTTCTGAATGCATTTCTGCCAATGTCTTATTTCAAGCCTTACGGTGGCCCTGCCAGGTGGGCTGGTCTGCAGGGAGGCTGCAGTGGACTGGATATGAATGCCAAAGTGGCTGTGTACAAATCTTACTCTGACGCTGGGTTGGCCTGAATCCTCTCTGTACCCTGCTTTTCACCTCTGGATGAAAGCAGATTTATTCAGTTCCCAAATATGTATTGAATCCTACTATGTTCCAGGCACTGGTCTGTGTAGGAGGGAAATAATGGTTAACAAAACAGACCATATCTTTCCTCTACTCAAAACCTCCCTGTGGCTTCCTGTCATACTCCTTGAAAACTTTGCATGGTGGCTTACAGGGCTTACTGTTCACTGTCCCCTTTTCTCTCCTGTTTCATTTCCCTTTTATACTCTGTTCTGGGTATACCACTTTGCTTGTCCTTGAACCTGTTTATCATGCTTCTGCCTCAGGACATTTGCACTTGCTGTTCCCATTCTCAGGAATTCTATTTGCTCAGCTTCTTTATTCAAATGCTCCCTTCTCTAGGAGGTCTTCTTTAGTAATCTAAAATCTTTTTTTTTTTTTTTTTTTTAGTTTTTGGCTGGGGCTGTGTTTGAACCTACCACCTCTGGCATATGGGACCAGTGCCCTACTCCTTTGACCCACAGGTGCCACCCCTGTAATCTAAAATCTTAAACTCCAGATTTCTTCATGCCCCCCTCTGCTTTACTTTCTGTATTTATCTTGTTTATCATCAGCATTCCCTCACCAGAAACACAGTCCTATGAAGGCAGGGATATGTGCCTATGCTAACTACTAACAGCAGAAACAAGAAAACCGTTAGGAGGCTTTTGCAATAATCCAGTTGAGATTGGGTGACTTGGACCAAGACAGAGTGGTGGAAGAGATGAGAAGTGTATGGATTGTGTATTAGATGTGGACACCAACTGGGAAAAGGGGGTGGGGGTAATAACGCTAAAGTTTTTGGCTTAAACAGTTGGAACTTGAAATGGAGAAAATGTGGGAGAACCAGGCTGTGGTGCTGGAGAGTGACACCCCAGTTTAGTAAGTTTGAGACACCTGTTAGCCATGCAAAGGGAGACACTGAGTAGCATGTTGGCGCTATAGTCTGATGTTCGGAAGAGTTGAGTTAAGTTGGAGACACAGATGTGGTACTTGTTTAATGTGTATTTGGGTATCTAAGGTGTAGATAGAGAAGAGAAGTGGCCCAATACTTGCAACTGGTTAAGTAAGAAGGAACCACCAAAAAAGAAAAAAAAAAATTGAGAAGTGGTGGCCAGGTGGGTGTGAGGTCCTAGAAGCCAAGAGAAGGAGCCTTGAAAGAGAGAGAGGTGAGCAACTATGTCAAATGCCTCTACTAGGTCAGGTCCGATAAGAATGAACTGTTTTATTTAACATCGTGGAGGCCGTGGGTTGAATGGTGGGAAGAAAACCCTGATTTTTGTTACCTAAAAGATGGAGGAGAAATTAACAACAGAGAGCATAAATAGTATTTCCCCATAAGGTGATGAGAATTAAATAAAGTGCTTAGAAGAGTTTCTGGCTCATTTTAAGCACTAAATGAGTATTAGCTGTTTTTATTATAATTGTCAAATCATAACTGGTGAGGAGAACAGAAACTGAAAACACACCTGATTTTTTGACATTTTGTACCTGTGGTCTCTACAAGTGATTGGAAAGCATATATTCTCTTATTATGAATCTTACAGGAATTTTTGGCCCACGGCCTGAGCAATGTGATTTCTTCATTTTTCTTCTGCATACCAAGCGCTGCTGCCATGGGAAGGACCGCGGGCCTGTACAGCACCGGAGCAAAGACACAGGTAACTGACCTGTTCAGCTGGACAAAGGAAGGCTGGGCGGGGGG